CCCCGACTCACGTAGTTCTCGCCGAAGCTGCGCTGCCCGTGGCTGTAGGCCTCCATCACCATCTCGGCCGGCTTTGTCTTGCTGACGGCCACGAGGCGCGGCTGCACGGCCGGGAGTCCCTGCGGACACGGCGGGGTGAGGGGGAACGGGGCCCTGCTCTGGGGGGCTGCCATGAGGGGATGAATGAGGGGCCGGGGGTGTTGGGGACGGTCGGATCGGTCACGACAGAGGCCTGTCGCGATAGTGAGCTCCTTTGCTGGCGGTTCACACACCCAGATCCGCGCTGTGCTCGCCCCGCGGTACCGCGGATCTGATCCCACAGTGACCGGCGGCCCTGTCCCCACAGCGGGGCCTGTCCCAGCGGCACTGCCGTCACCGCGGACCTGTCCCCACGCCACCGTCCCCGTGCTGCCGATCCCTCCCGGCGGTTGTCCCTCGCTCACCTGCGGCCGGCGCGCCGCCGCTTGCTGCAGCTGCTCGGTGACAGCGCGGAGCGCCGGGCCCAGCCCGTCCCCGGCGGCCATGCCCGCTCTCCACATCCCCTCCCGCCCTCCCGCCGGGGCCGCTTCCGCCACACACCCGCCCCGCCCCCAACCGCAGCCAATCGGAGCGCTCCGCCGAGCGCCGCAGCCAATCGGATCGCTCCGCCGAGCGGCACCAGCCAATGGGAGCGAGGGGCGGGGCGGGGCGCGGCGCGCCATCTTGGGAAGGTCATTGTGGCCCCCGGGGCCCGGCCGGGACTCCCCTTTCTCCCTCCCCTTGGATTTTGGGGAAAAATCTAAAGAATTCCGTGTTCCGAGTGACAGGAACGAGGGCTTCCATTTAGCCCACCCGGCTGTTCCACGCCCGACCCCAAAAATCAGATTCTTATTCTCCCAATGACGTGAATATCAATTATTTCAGGGAAAAAAAGCGTCATAAAAACATGAGAGGGAACAGTGCTTATCCTAAAGGCGCAGTTTGAGGGGTGGGGAGTGCTTGGAACGTGGCCATAAAAGCCCAGAGCAGCTGGAGGGATCGGGACAATGCCCGGCTTTATCGCGGCCACTCCGAGGGGAGCAATGGGAAACTGCCAGCTGGAACACATTAACTCAAATATTTGTCYAAATGTGCAGAACTTCACCGTCCCTCTGCACATTCCGTGTTTACACAGCTGGGGAAAAACACCCGAAAGGTTCCTGCCCTTTGTCTGGTAAAACATGACAAGGATTTTCTGCAAACTTCACCAAATCCGAGGTGTTTGCTGCTGTTTTGTTCCTGTGTTTTTCACTCATTCCATTAAAAAAGCAGGATTTTGACTGACAAATGCAGGATTCCTTGGACATCTCTGACCCTTCTTCCTCCACTTTCCTCCTCCTCCTCAGCGGACAGGGAGAACCAGGGGGTGCAGGGGCACAGCCACCAGCAGCCTCGACGTTCCCTCTAGAAATCCTCCTCTAAAAACACCTCTACACATGATACTAATATTAAAATTGATATCAAAATAGGAAGATTCTAAAATTGAAGGCCATTTTATTGTCATAGCAAATACCAAAATAAAAAGGCTTTGAGTTCAGTACATAAGAAGATCAAAGACTGCASTGGTGGAGCATTTCCACGCTCCCAACAGCCATTCCCAAATATCAGCAGTGTCACAAACCTCTGTTCCCTTTGTCATAGAGTGGGTTTAAAGTTCAGATCTTCATATCAAGATTATAAAAAACCTGTTAGAGTTGCTCTTTAAAGAGCCAGAGGGAATAAAGGTTTACATGGAGACAGATCCACTCTGGAAAATTTGGGACGTTGGACAGAGTGAAGAAATCTGAATGAAGACACAACAACAGATTTTGGCTTGTGAAAAACTGATACACTCAAATTCGCTTTTGCTTTTTTACTCTTAGTATTAATTTAACTAAATCACACTARTGTTTCAGCAGTCAGGGTTTTAATTAAAAAAAAAAAATCATTAAGAGCTTTTCATCCCAAGCTACTGTCTTGCTGTGAAGTCACACATAAAAAAAATTACTTTGGCTTAGTTGGGTCCTTTTATTAGTGAAAATATTTGTGTAAAAGGAGGTTTGAGCTGCTGATGGAAACCTCGAGCAGAAAYGTAGAACAATCTCAAATGAGCTCATCCTCAGTGCTAAATTTCTGCTATTCCCTGTTATAATCAGGAACATCAGAGCCTCCCTGGGGATGCAGTTGTTTGATGAAATTCTGGAGATGGGACTTGCCTTTGCTCCTATTTTCCAAGAAATACAAAGAGGATGGAACTTTTCTCCAGCAGGAACTGATTCTTAATTTCTATTTTGCCTTTTCAAGCATCAACAGAGAAAACTGCTCTGAGAACCATGGAGCCAGCAGCTGAGATTCATCCAAGATCTCTCAGTGTCACACAGATTGATGAAGGTTTAAACACTGAGGAGTGACACCAGGGCTAGTGGGAAGCAAAAATTTGGGGCAGGAGCCTGTAAATGTGCCAGGCTGGTCTCTGGCATCATCTCACATGAGGATATTGGCCTCAAATTGTATCAGCAATTAATCACCAGGCTCTGCTGCCAAATGCAGATGGATTAGGAAGGGAAAAGAAGAAAAAAGCTTCTCTCTAGGCCTGAATTTTTGTCTTCCAATTTTGGAAAACAAAACCCTGTTCCCTCCTTGTGTTTGGGATGGGGTGGAAGGTACATTCTGGGATTGTTTTGAGAGAAAAAGGGGAATCCATCTTTGGGTAGTKCAGGAAGAGCTGCTTTTCTTTGCCCTGTCATTCCAGGATGATGGTTTGTCCTTGGCCAGCTCTAAATCTGCTTTCCACGAGTCCTTTCAGACCCAATCCCACAGGAATTCAGTTCTGCTCCTTTCAGCTCAGCTGAGGGTCCTTTTTCCAGTCAGACACTGTAAACACTGAGATCCTGCAGAGTTAAAGAGCTGAAGGACCATCTGGTCACTGCAAGGCCTTTTGCAAAATCAGGCTCCCTGAGACAGAAATTGCTCCCTCCCTCATTTTCTCTGACTGTGACCTTCACTGAAAATCCCACCCAACTCTGCACTCCAGGACGCTGCTGGGAAAACTCTGCTGTGCCCTATAAAAAACGTGACAAATGGAAAACAAAACATAGAAAATGAATTTTGGGTCACTCCCTGCGTGACGTGTGGTCTAAGGCTTTGATCCCCCAGTGAGGGGAACTTTCAGGATCCTCTGTCTCTCATGGGGTCACCTCATGTGGGCTCAGCAGCCACCTGTAGTGTAAAAAATCTAGCACCTTGTTTTCAAAGGGGATTGAAATAAAGTATTTGGAATTTCCATTAAGAAAAAAAAAAAAAAAACAAACCAGAACAAGTTGTAGCAGTGATTCCCCTCCCTCTAAAACCTCAGTATTTCTTTACCTCCAACTGCTACAAACCACCTCAATCCCAAATTAGGTTCCCATACAGCTGCCTCCTAAATCCTTGGTCTGCATGACAAGGATTCTGCAGCTACAAAACATACCTAGAGCTTAGAAATTACCAAAAAAACCCACCCCATAAATACCAAAGTCCTTGTGTGTCTAATTGTCATACCAAAGATTGAAAGGATTAAATCTGATTCATCTCTTTCAGCATAGGAAAGGGGAGAAACAAAAAGGAACTTCCCAGTTCATGATTTTTTTTTTGATATAAAACGAATAGAAATCTTTCTCTTCAGTTGATGTTATGAAGTAGTTTTGTGTCCTCACTGGTTCCTGCYCCATCCTCCTCGTGGATTCCTTCTGCCAGTCCCTCTGCAGATTTGCTCTGGCTCCCTGCAGAGTCCATGAACATGTTGGGAATATCTTTGCCAAAGTAGATCTTGCTGTTGGCTGCAATTGCYTTGTACTTCATAAGCTGCAAATACTCGGGAGTTAACTTGAGCTGCATGGAGAGAAAAGGGGTCAAAACAGTGGSATTTGGGGAAAAGGAAATTCCTGCAAAGCACACAAGGCACACATTCCCACGAGCCCCTCCACAGGGAAAACACAGAGTGCCCAGAGCAAGGTTTTCCTTCAGAGCAGCTCCAAATCCCAGGGAATAAAATGAGAAGTGATGGGAGCAGCTGGGAAATGCTGGATTTGAGCGTGATGGAGACACTCAAAGCACATCACTCACTGCAGCCCTCCCAAGGAGAGCTGCTGAGAGGGGAAATATCCCTGGCTGCTTCCCAGGGAGCAGATCCACCAGAGAGAGGAGCTGGTTTGTTCAGGATAATTTCAACAGAGAGGATGAACAACTGGCACAAAACAAAACCTGTGCACAACCCTCTGCMCCTTCTCACTGACCCCACACAACTGCAATTCCTCCAGCTGTGGGCAGCACCAAGCACTGCTATCCATGAMATTTTCCTGTTTCCAGGTTGGATTTTTGTTGTTTTTGCAGTACTGAGGCTCTTCCAGGGTGTCTGTGATCAGATCCATTTGYTCTTTCCCTGAACTGTGGTTTGTTCTACCCCTGCTCTGACTGCCTGCCAACTCCAGACTGGAATGGAACCACATTTCTCATCACAACAGTGTGAAAGGGCAACACTGAATCTGATATTCCACGGACACACAGAGCCATGGCCCGTTAGCAGAGCAGAGATTTCACACCCCCTGACACACTGCTCTGCCCACAGAACAAAATAAAGATTAATTATTTCACTCAGATGGAAGCTTTGCTAAAAGGAGATAGTCTCATTTTGCTTTTTGACTTAAACAATGCTCTTGTGCTGAGKATTTCCCCACAGCTTGATGCCAAAGGAAAGCACAGTACCTTGTTGGCCTCRGCCACCTTCATTGCAGTGTAACACTCAGCATCAGCTCTGGCCTTCTCTCGTGCAAGAAATGCAGCATCTGGAAGCAAACACACCCTCTTGAGTCCCATTTTTATTTCCAGCCACGTTTGCAGCTGGAAACTCTTCAGAAAGTGGCCACRGCCACATCTGAACTGCACAGGATACAGCAGGGGGAAAAGGGAACAAAATGGGAAACCCAGAAATGGGAGCTCAATTTACAGCTAAATGGCTGCAGGATGAGAGCATCAGTGAGTAAATGGCATCTGCAACTGCAGAGCTCAAAGCRTTTCACAAACATCAGGCTTTGATTATGGCATCACGTGGGCTGAGCTCAGCCTTTCTTCTCGAGCCAGGACTAACTCTGCTCTGCTGCAGACGTGGGATTTACCCCGAGCCTTTGCCCAGGACTCCAGGAACAGCCCAAGAGCCCAGCAGACTCTCTGCAGATGAGTCTGTGCCTGTGGATGTGATTCCCAGATGGGATTTGCTCTGGGATATGCAGATGGAAGGTTCTGGCACGCAGAGAAGGGATTTTAACCTTTCCAGGCTCTGCCCCTTGCACAGACACTGCAGAGTTTCCTGTCCTGGATCAACAATTGCTCAAAGGCTCTGATCCTGTGGGATACTGAAATTCCTCACTGCTGGCAGAGACATTTAGGGAAAAAAAATGCTTCCCTTCTGTCCTGCCCTCCTTTTGCTCAATCTGTATCTAYCCAATGCTAATGATGGCTAAAATGAGTGTGATCCTGCCCATCCCCTGMCATTCCTCCTGAGCCATGGAGCCASRCAATTGCAACATGTCAGTCTGGCTTTGGGAGCTGCAGAGCTGCATAAACCATTTGTTTACTTCCCCTTGCAGGGAGTCCTGTGAGCAGCTACACTTTGAGATCACGTAAACACTGGATGATTTGGCCCATTYTGGATTCCTCTCTTTTGGCCAAAACAAGGGGCTGGTCCCAATCTGAGACACCAGAAAGAATGAGGGAGGCAGCACAGATCTGAACAGAGGGGCTGACACAGTTATAAGAAATAAACCCCATTGTATTCCTGCAAAGAACTTCTTAATGAGAAGCTGCTGATCTGTAAAAAAAACTCTTAATTGGCTCCTCGGTGGCTTCTGCAAAGCTTGTCAGGGTCTGTAATGAATGGGAGGGGAAAAAAGGCTGGAATTGCAGAGCCCTGTCCCTGCCCTGGAGTTTCCTTGACAAAGCAGTGTCAGAAGGGTGAGGAAACATCTCCCTAAGTTAAGTTCAAACTCCTCCAAAGATCACCGTGACAAAGGGAGTTTCAGGAGGCACAGAAACATTCCTATTGCTGCCTCTGGTCAGGAGTTTCACCCTGTGAATGTCAGGGATCCCATAACACACTCAAAACACACTTCAAGAACTCTTTGGCTCTCGGGTGAAATCTTCAGGATTTCCTCACTGGAAAGCTCAGCCCCTGCTCACCTTCAATCTCTGAAATTCGCTTCTCTGTTTCCTTTTCCATCACTTTCTGCCCRTAAGTTATTTCAGCAACTTGTGCAATCTTTTCTGCCTCTGAAATGAAAACAAGAACACACCCACGTTGTCATCACACATCTTCCTAACGCCAGCAGCAGCCTCRCCCTGGAAAATCCTCACTCATCGCTCACTTCAGGTGGGAATAAACGGTGGGAAGAATTTCCAGCCTGCAGAAAACAAAGCTGGAAAAACTCCTGAGTGGCTCTGGGAATGTTTCAGATCAGAGAAAGTCCCAAAGTGGATCCCTCCCTGGGGTCTCTTTGCTGTTTGTCCCCCTCATTCCCTCTCCCAACCCGTACAGACCGATCAGGGCTTTCTTCCTCTCCGTCTCTGCCTCCTTCTCCACCACYTTCTGCTTCTGGGCTGCAATCAGCAGCTTTGTCTTCTCACTCTCCCTGGAAAGGAGGAGAAACCAGTTAAAACCAGGAGCTCACTGGTGTGGGATTCCCAGGACGAGCTGTCCYCTCCTTCCAGCACTTGTCCAGGGCAGGTACTGCACACACTGAGCTTTTTGCCCAAATCAAAGCATTTTTTCCTCCCCTCCACAGCAGGACAATTTTCCAGTTGAGTCCCTGTGACACACTCCCTGTAGGATGCCATAGTGCTTTTTCTCTCTTACTGGTTTTTACTTTCATTAATGAGTTTTACAAGTGTGAACATAAATAAAAAAAACCCTGCTCCTGCTCCCAGTCAGGGAAGAGACACTGGAATTGAGCATCTCTCAACACATCCTGCTCTATTTATGGCATCACAACACTGATTTGGGACCTCCCACCACGAGCACAGCACACAGGATTCACCACAGG